CTAGGTTCTGGAGCCGTACCAAAACAGCAGCTGTGACAGCCCCAGGGATTAACTCGGCTGCTGACAGGCACAGGGTCATTTGGCCTGTGAGAAGTCCCACAGTCCACATCCAGCCTGCAGGGCCCAATGAGTTTGACACCCCTAAAATAAAGGACACAATACTCTGCTTGTTAGAAAGATTGATCAGGCTGATATTTTATTTTCCTGTTATTTCCGTCTCCTGTGTGTATTTTTGTTTTGTTCCGGGGAATTGTAAAGTTGAGTTTAGAGTCCTGGGACCTGAGCGCCCTGTCACTGCTACCGTTGGAAAAGAGACGGTGCTGCTGTGTCACCTGTCCCCCATGGTGAGCGCTCAGAACATGGAGGTGCGATGGTTTCGATCCGAGTTCTCTAACTACGTACATCTGTATCGTGCTGGGCAAGACCAGTATTGGAAGCAGATGCCAGAGTATCAGGAAAGGACAGAGCTGTTGAAAGATGGCCTCCCCGGTGGAAATGTTGCCTTGAGAATTCTCAACGTCACACTCTCTGATAAAGGGCAGTATCACCGTTTCCTCCAAAATGGGAGCTTTTATGAAGAAGCCATATTGGAATTGAAGGTGACAGGTAGGAACCAAGCTCCAGTATACTTTTTTGGGAGAGCTAAAGAAAGATTAATCTTGAGCTGGTGATAGAGAGGGTCTGTGTCAGAATTTGAGCTCCTAGTGTGTATATAAAGGACTATGAAATATTCGTGGCAAGTGATGTTCTTAAGGGGGTTGTATCACACGAAGCCCTTGCTCAAAAGATCTAAAACTTGGACAACTAACAATATCCTGGATTTCCATGATGCATAGCAATTTTCAAGATATATAATAAAGCAGTAACCTAATTCTGATTTAAATAAAAGTTGGGGTAGAAGTGCATTTTATAGATTATCTGAATGAGAGATGCCTAACCTTTCATGAGCAACAGCTCACTGACTGCCAGACTTCAGGCTTAAGTACAGTGGGATTACTGCCCTACAGGATTTTCCCAATTATCCCTGTTAGCACCAGTCTGTCTGTTTCTGGAGTGAGATTAAAGGATGCAAATAAAGACAGGTGTGTGTAAACCAATGTACATTTATAAAAGCCCATATGTGTTCTGGTGATAATGAGAAAATTGCCCTTTTCTCTTTAACCTCTCTTTATCCTGGTTTTTTTAAATCCTTTATCCTTTTTTCTGTATCAACTTCTGTTAAAATGTGTAATTAAAAAGATTATGTAATACAGCAAAATGGGGATACAGGAGTTTTAAAATGAATCATATCATACATACCTAATCTAGTCTCCTGTCTTTGTCAGTGACTGGCACCAAGTGTTATAATGGATGGCTAAAGAAACCCCACAGAAACATCTGTGGGATACTTTGTCTTGCATGAAGTATTCTTTCTAGCTCCTGATGATGCAGAACTCTTTCAGTGCTGGAAAACTAAATACAATCTTAGCTCCAGATAAGCGGTAAATTGAAAAATAGTGGGGGAAATATCTTTTCTCATCCCAGTAATTATAGCTTAGTGTTCAGTCATAACCAAATAAGCATGCAACACGCCTAAATTTCAGCTTGTGAGAAATCCCATCTCCGTTCAATATGTTCCTTAAACCCATTTCATTTGGAAACTTAAGCACATGCTGAAAGTGCTGAGCTAAATTTAGGCACTGAGTCAGGATCAAGAATAAAGAGAACTGCATACTGTGTTTCATTTTTGGTTCAGGCTTTTCTAATAAGATTTTCAGCACTGCTTAGAATTGCACAACTCTGTCCCATGAAATTAATGGCTGACTTTCTGTTAGGTTGACATAGATGGCTTTTGAAAATATCACCCTTACTCTTTAGAAAAATACTTACTGCTGTATACTTGTGTTTATCTTATCTTTCTTCAGTCTCGGGCTCCAATCCCCTCATCTCTGTGGAGGATTACCAGGATGGAGGAATCCGGGTGGTGTGCCAGTCGGCTGGGTGGTACCCAAAGCCGGAGGTGCTGTGGAGGGATTTCAGAGGACAGCACTTTCCTCTGCTAACTGAGACGTATTCCCAAAACAAAAATGGCCTGTTTCAAGTAGAAACATCTATTATTATCCAGCAAAATATAAAGCAGAACTTATCCTGCTGCATCAAAAACACCCTTCTCCATCAGGAAAAGGAATCAATAATTCGTATATCAGGTCAGTTCCCATCAAAATCTGAAATCATCAGTACCAGCCAAACCAGAAGATAATATGTATGCTTAATTACATAAATCATATGTAGTATTTTTTTCAATTGTTCCAAATTAATAGAAGCTCTTGAATTCTGTGTTTCAGATTCATTTTTCCCAAAGATTTCTCCAGAGACCCTAGCTCTGATTGGTGTATTGATGGTCTGTTTGGTTTTCCTCATAGGCTTTACTGTCTTTATCCTCAGAGAAAATGGTAAGAAATTCAGTGCCGTTAAAAAAAGATTATTAAAAAAAGATTTTCTCTTACATCAAATACTAGAAGAAAAGAAAAGAAAAAAGGAAAGATGTTTGACTAGGAAGTGCATCGTATGTTGCAGTATTCCAAATGGAGATGTATGGTACCAGATGAGAAGAAAGCTAGAGCTAATATTAGGTGATTGAAGTTGGGCACTTACCTGGGTTTTTTTTGTTTTTGTTTTGTTTTGTTTTTGCATGGGAGAAACCACAAAGATTCTTATTTGAAAATTTAGCAAGAAGATGACTGAGCCTGATATGAAGATGGGAGAGACCATGGTCATCACAGGGTGTTTGAGGCCTTGAAATAACTCTAACTTGGACAGATATGTAGGGAAGAATATAAGAGAATTGCTCGGGCATGCAGGGATGAAGTCAGGAAGGCCAAAGTGCAATTGGAGTTGCAGCTAGCAAGGGATGTGAAGGTAACAAGAAGGGTTTCTACAAGTATGTCGGCAGCAAGAGGAAGATCAGGAAAAGTGTAGGTCCCTTACTGAAAGGGAGAGGCAGCCTAGTGACAGAGGATGCAAAAAAGCGGAAGTGCTCATTGCCTTTTTCACCTCAGTCTTCACAGGCAAGGTCAGCTCCCAGACTACTGCACTGGGCAGCACAGTCTGGGGAGGAGATGAGCAGCCCTCAGTGGTGAAAGAGCAGGTTAGGGACTACTTAGAAAAGCTGGATGTGTAAAAGTCCCTGGGGCTGGATGGGATGCACCCGAGGGTGCTGAGGGAATTTGCTGATGTGATTGCGGGACCATTGGCCATCATCTTTGAAAACTCATAGTGATTAGGAGAGGTCCTGCATGATTAGAAAAGGGCAAACATATTATCCATATTTAAGGAGGGGAAAAGGAGGATCCAGGGAACTACAGACCAGTCAGCCTCACCTCAGTGCTTGGAAAAATCATGGAACAGATCCACAAGGAATCCAGTTCTATGCACTTGGAGGGGAAAAAGGCAATTGGGAACAGTCAGCATGGATTTGCCAGAGGCAAGTTATGCCTGGCCAACCTGATTTCCTTCTATGATGAGGTGACTGGCTCTGTGGATGTGGGGAGACCAGTGGCTGTGGTGTAACTCGATTTTAGCAAGGCTTTTGATAGACTCCCACAACATTCCTGCAGGCAAGCTAAGGAAGTACAGGCTGAATGAATGGACTGTAAGGTGAATCGAAAACTGGCTGGAGCATTGGGCTCAGAGAGTAGTAATCAATGGCTCCATGTCAAATAGAGTCCGCCGGGGGTCGGTCCTGGGGCTGGTTTTGTTCGATGTCTTCATCAACAACCTGGAAGATGGCATTGAGTGCACCCTCAGCAAGTTTACAGATGACGCCAAGCTGGATGGAGTAGTAGATACGCTGGAGGGTAGGGGTAGGATTCAGAGTGACTTAGACAAATTGGAGGATTGGGCAAAAGAAATCCCATAAGGTTCAACAAGGACAAATGAAAAGTCCTGCACTTAGGACAAAACTATCGCATGCACTAGTACAGCCTGGGGGCTGACTGGCTGGGCAGCAATTCAGGAGAAAAGGGCCGGGGGTTACAATGGACAATAAAATGAATATGTCCAGCAGTGTGCCCTTGTTGCAAAAAAGGCTAACAGCATCTTGGGCTGCATTGGTAAGCGTGTTGCCAGCAGGTCAAGGGAAGTGATTATTCTCCTCTATTCCTCTATTCAGCGCTGGTGAGGCCACATCTGGAGTATTATGTTCAGTTTGCCCCCTCCCCGAAAGGATGTGGGCAAATTGGAGAGTGTCTAGCAGAGAGCAACAAAAATGGTGAGGGGGCTGTGGGACATGACTTATGAGGAAAGACTGAGGGAACTCAGCTTATTTAGTCTAGAGATGAGGATATGGAGAGTGGACTTAATAGCAGGCTTCAAGTACCTGAGGGGGCGGGTTCAAAGGAGACTGGAGCTGGACTATTTTCAGTGGTAGCAAAAGACAGAACAAGGAGCAATGGTCTCATGTTGCAGCAAGGGAAATTTGGGTTAGATATTAGGAAGAATTTTCTTGTTAGGAGGGTAATCTAACACTGGAACAGGCTCCCCAGAGACGTGGTGGAAGCTCCATCCTTGGAGGTTTTTAAGCCCCGGCTAGACAAAGCTTTGGCTGGGATGATCTAATTGGGGATGGTCCTGCTTTGAACAGGGGGTTGGACTAGATGACCTCCTGAAGGCCCTTGCAACCATAAGTTTCTATGATTCTGTGCAAGTTACATCAAACTACTTGTTCTACTGGCAAAAGGATGGTAGCTGACAGGTACATAAGGACTGACTTGGGTATGCACAGAAGTAACATGACATGTGAAAAGACTTAACAGTATAATAAAACTGGAGTGGACGGTGTATGCACAGTACTATCATCTTGAATGCAGCAGGGATAACTGGCACAGATAGTCTGCAGTCCAGCAGTGTTCAACACTGCTTTTTGTCCCTATGAGACAGTTGTCCGTTGTCTTCTTTACTTCTCTGCTTTGGAGTCATGGGCTCCAAATGTGCCCTGAATTTTTATTACTTATGCCTGAAGGCATACAGATGCTCTTTTGTTCTGGATAGTCATCCTGCAGATTTAGCTTTCTGAGACCTATGTCCTGTATTTCACCCATCCACTCATGACTATTGCATCACAATGCCAACTTTTATGAAGAGCTCTACTAATTAGAGGCAAGCAGAAGTCCTTAACCCCCTTGCCATCTGGGCCAAGGATCATATTCAGCCAGGCCTGTTGAAATGCCACAAAAAACAGCCTGTGTATGAACAGTTCACAGTAGAGAGATGGCAGCTTTTCACAACTTTGACTGGCAGAAGTGGCATCCACAATAATAGGCCCTACAGCATTGTAACATCGGCAAGTGATGAAATAAATATGCATGTCCCCAGTAAAAATAATAATAATAATAATAATAACCATCATTACAACTTTAAAGTCTTGAGAACAAGTTCATTTTGAGTTGTGAAAGCCAGATCCATATTTTGTAAAGTTAAATTTGTTTTATCTTTTACCTTGGTTAAAGACTGTCCCCTACCTGCACGGTGCATTTTACCCGTCAGCAATACAGATGTTATGTTGTTTGTTTCTTACCTATAGTGAAGGAAGATCTTAGTAATAATCAATATTTATTTCTGTATTCTTTTTAAGGGAAGCATGCTAAAGAACTTGGTAAGTCTCTTTTACCCCTGTACAAAATATTTGTGTGTGGTATTATCCTGATAAGGGGAAAGTGTTACTTGATGCATTTATTTGGGGAGTGAGGCGGGCAGCAGATTCTAAAGTTTTAATTGTAAAACAAATGTGACAGGCAAGAAAATTTACATGAATAATTGCTTTTAAAGACTATTAAGCAACAATAAACTGTGATTAGAACCAGCATTAATTTCAGACGTAAGTATATAGAGTAATAGAAGAAATATGAAAAGGTAAATATTGTCAGTTTTGTAATAAGGAGCTGACACCCATCAGAGCCTCATGAATTGTATCACCACTGTCCTGGTTCCATGTAGTTTAAACAACTCTTTGTGCTACAGGTGAATTTTATCCTCAAAGGCTCAGGTTCTTTGACTCCTGGAAGCTGGCTACTATAGTAGTTTATATTTATTTCTGTTGATTTTTTAGGGAAATATGATGCAGTAACTAGTAAGTATTATTCTTATGCCTTTGAAAATGTTTATATTTGGAGAAAATTATATCCATATGAGAGGGATTTTTGTTTTGGTCTTGTTGCTTTGTTTTGTTTAATTTCATTTTTGTGCTTTCCTTTATAAAGATGAGAGAGGGTTTTTAGACTTTGAATCTCTTTGACTTTCTAGTGAAGCCCTCTAATCATTATATGACAGGCCAGGTATTACCTTGCCTTATTTTTGACACTTTTGAAAGCTTTGTAGTCTACGTGTGCCCATTTACATGTCCACATTTTCCAGGGTGGCCTATAGAGAATTTGTTTGAACCAAAATTTGTTAACTTGGCTTAGCCAACCCAAGTAAATAATGCACATTTTTTCTTGAAGTGAGACATACTCTTTGGGGTGTCCCCTGTGGTTCGGTGGTAGAATCCTTGCCTACGCCACAGGAGACTGGGGTTTGATTCCCAGACACCTATACAACTACAACCATGGAAGCACCAAACATCTGGACTCAGTCTGGTTTTTGGATTCTGTCTCAGTGGCCTAAAGCAGGGATGAAAGGTCTGGGCAGCCTCTACTCCTCCAAAAACTTCCTGCTCAGGCATATGCATCAGCGGTCTGGATGGCCCTCATGCGTGCGCCATGATACAGGAAGATCGATGGTCGCCCTTTATACCCTTTATTGTGAATACCCTTTTTAGCTATACCCTTTATAGTGAAACCTAGGTACACTAACCTGTGGTCAACAATATATTATTGGGTTATTCATTTTATTTTGATTTAAATCGTTAGCTTTTTAAGTGTTGGGAAGGGGAAAGGTTATTTGGGGGAGGGAAGAGGTGCGGTTCTTTCTTTCTTTGCTTTTTTTAATCATATGGGAGAAAACTGAGGCTTGCCAATTTTACCCCAGGAGGTAAACTCTGAAAGCGATATAAGCAATAACACCAGCAACAGAACACTTCAGTAATGGTATTGGGGTAAAGTAACACAAAGGAAAAGGGGAAAGTAATATAATTTCCTTCCTTGTAGGAAAGGAGTTTCTTATGCGTCTGTCCAAGGAAAACAAATCCCCATATAATAATTATATTATTTTTTATTCAATTTTTAGGGGAACGTGATGCAGAAATCAGTAAGTCTCGTTTCCTTCTTTCAACAAATAAACCATTAGTAGAAAGATGGAACCATGTTTTGCCTTTATTTTGGAGAAGGAAGGGTTTTTGATGTTTCTTTTTTGTACTTGAGCTTTAAGAGAAGCAGTGTGAGCTTTGTTCAATTTCATACCAAAGTACTATGTGAATTTTTGAGAAACTAAAATGTAGCAATTATATAGATTTATAATGTCCGTATTCATTTTTGTAAATTAACATAGGTCTGTTGGAATCAATGGATGTGCACTGATTTACACTCATTGAGCATATGATTACCTTAGCACTGAAACAGTTATTGTAACACATGCCGTCTCAAAAAAAGGAAAGGAGTTGAAAGTTATACTTTTCTTCCGCATGGTATATGAAACCCACCAACAACCCTTTTCATGACAGTCCCACCAGCAGTTGGTGCCTCCCAGGGTGCATTGTACGCCTCGTTAGCACAGTTAATAAAATGAAGCCATGCAGTTGTGTCAGTAGCTGCATGGAGCTACCAGAAGCCATGTAGGTGATCATGCATTCTGGCAGCTTCCTTGTGGCAGCTGCAGTTCTCCCTGCAGAAGCCTTACATTACAGATGAGAGTTTAGTCCTGCCTTTGGGAGGAGGACTAGGCATCCTGGAGCTGGAATAGATGTCTGCAGATCTCTAGGTGCCTCCAGAGTGAGGTGGAGGCCGAGGAAGATTTCTCAGGTTTGCAATTTTGTACGTAGACTTCTAATTCCTTCCTGTCACACTTTCAGGTCCCTAAATCCTGATACATATCTGGTCCACAGGCACATTTGGAAATCGTGTCTTGGAAAAATTATATATATACAATTAAAAGTGCTTATGTATCTGTGGAAAAAAAGGCTCCTTTGTTAATGTTTTATTCCTTTTTGTTTATTTTCAGAAATGCAAGCAGCCGAACTTAGTAAGTCGTCTTTTCCCTCTTCCTGCCTGTAAAACCTTTGACAAAGTTGTACTCTTGTAAAAAGAGCTTCATCCATTTTGTGTTTTGTTTTTCTGCCTTTTTACTAATTAAATTAGTGTGGTCTCTAAGGCTAAATAGGAAATATTTGGCAGGAAAACGAAGCTTGAAAAATGTTTTAAACAGTGTTTTTACATTGTGATGAAAACTTGGTTTTACTATTGACTAGCTAATGTAATAGACCATTGTAATATATTTAGCTTTTTTGTGATAAGGATATGAAGAGCTATAAAACATATGATTCTGTCTCTTAAACATGGCAGTAGGGAACACTCAAATGCTGTTTTCTGAGGGAGAAGGGGAGAGAGTGTAAACCCTACTACAGGTGAATCTGGCTTGAAGAAGATTGTTATAATTGGTAGGAACTAGAGGTGCACTGGTACATTGGTCCGATAACAGATCGGCACTGGTATAAGGAACATTATCTATATCGGAAATCATCCTTCAGTGGCCGATAATTGGGCTGATGATTGGTCTGTGCATGCGCACAGCCTCAGCGCAGCACATATTAGTGAGCAGCATGGCAGGCAGCATGGAGAGCTGCCAGCTGGTAAGTCTGGTGTGGTGGAAGAGGACGGGGTGGGGGAGCCAGATCAAAGTCCCCGTGGTGAGGAAGAGAGTGCGGCAGGAGCTGGGGCTAGGGAAAGCGCTACCCATTCGGGGTGGGGTGGTGAGGGATGGAGCAGGGCTCATCCGGGGGTGGGGGGTGGCTCCTGCTGCCACCTGCCGCTCGTCCACTGGCTCCCATCACTGCTTCTGCCACTTGTCTGGGAGGGCATGTCAGGGTGGGCGGGTGCCCCTGGATCTGTGCAGGACAGGGCAGGTTGGGGCTGGGGCTGCATGGGGCTGTTCCTGGTAGAGCCTGGGCTGGGCTGGCCAGGGGCTGGTGCTGCTGGGGGGGGAGCTACAGTGAATTTTGCGATGGCTGCTACCCCACACCCAGCTCCACTGGGAACAGCCCTGCACAGCCTTGGCCCCAGCCCACCCCATCCTGTACAGGGCCCCCCTTACGCAGAAGCAGGGGCGGGAGCGGGCGGACAAGCCAGTGGACGAGCAGTGAACAGTGGCAAGAGCCATTTACTCCTCTCCCGTGCTCACTGGATGAGCCCTGCTCCATCCCCTGCCTGCCCCACCCCTACTGGGAAGCACTTGCCCGTCTCAGGGACACTCTTCCCTGACGATTCTTCATCTGTGGCTATCATTGGTCTCTCTTTGGTCATCATACTGTCCACATAGCTTCTCACATGCATACATGCTAATTTGGTCTTTCTGGGCCTCCTTCTATTTTGGTCTGTTCCCCCAAAACTGGGATTCAGGCCCCCCTGCTGTCAGGCCTTGTTAGCTGATGCCACCATATCTTGTTATGGAGCAGTATGGTACATGCCCCCAGTTTCTCAAACTATGTGTCCTTGATTGTTTGACAGCCTGTCTGTTTCAAAGACTGTGCGTGCGTGCGTGCGTGAGACACCCAGGTTTTTTAGAAATAGGTTAACCTCTGCTGCCCATCCAGAACCTTTCTAATACATATACCTTTTTACCCAGTTCCCAAAGAACAAACCTTTAAATACCACTTTCAAGCTCTCAATGGAGACCTTAATAGTTAGATCCTAACAGCTGATGCCTGTTTTGACACAACTACTTTCCTCCTCCTCTTTAAAGTGTTAAAAAGGGATGCTTATCACATCCTCAGGCCTGTGAAAGGAATGCTGTGATTGAAATGTTTCTCATCTTTGGTTGTAGGGTGGAGAAGATTTGCAGTGCCTATTGAAGAAGGTAATCAAAGATTATGGCTTATTAGTGCTCACATCCCACCTCCCATGTGAAATCCTCCCTCCTTGGGTGGATGATCAGGCTGTGATTCACTAGCTCAGTGGAAACCTCATCTGCAAAACTCAGCAGCTTCCTGCATTTAAAAGATATCAAAAGGACAGCATCAGGCATTTTCTGTGGCCGTGTCCCATCAGAACACAATGCACCCAGGTGTTACTACTTCTGCTCTTCCTGTCCTTTCTCTGCCTTCATTAACCCTGCCTGTACAGCATTTCCTGAGAGCACTTCCCATTGCTTCCAAAGAGCCATGGGGAATATGAACCTCCTCCCATCACTACCATGCCAAGACTTGTCCTGTCTCAGCATATTTACCATTCACTGCTGCTGCTTACATTTCCACCTAGCTTTGCTCCCCCACTTTCTGGTTGAAATGGGGTCATGATGTGTAGATGAGGAGCAGACTGAATTTAGTGAGAAATTTTTAGGGTTATAGGCACTGAAAATTGAACATGGGGGATATGAAACACAAGGAATGTTAAAAAAATTGCTACCACATTGTGGGTACCAGGGGTTAGATCCCACTGCCTGGACAAATGTCCTAAACACTGGATTTAAAAAATGCTATGACTCTACTACTTTTCCTTCTCTTCCTCTTACATCCAAAATTGGTAGTCTTGGGTTATCTGGAACTTGCACTGAGGGACCTTCCATCCTGTACTGAAATAAGATCAAAACCAAATATACAGCGGATTCATTGAGTGAACATCCTCGGAAGGATAAAATTAGTTCCACAGCAGGATCTAAAAACCAGTGCAAGCAGCATGAAATGCTATAGGGGCTGCTGAAGTTAGGCCAGGTAAGTGCTACGTACCTGCCTGAAGAAGGTTTGGATTTGGGCTGAGGGTCACAAGTCGCCTTGCCGAAGAGAAGAGGGTGCAGAAAGAGAAGAGGTCTGAGGCCAATCCTCCATCTCTGTATCCGTGTCTCTCTCCCTGCCCTGTCTCTCCCAGGGAAGGGAATCATCTCTGCACTTTGAGATGTCAGAGATGCATGCATTCTGGAGGAAGGAGATTCTCTGGTTCATTCTTCTGCTGGCAGTTTCTGTTACTGACTTGGTCAAATCCTCTCTCAGTGCTGGGCTCTCCCTTTGATCTTGGTTCTCTCTTTCTCTCTTCAGTGAGTCTGACACTGGACGCAGACACAGCACATCCCCAGCTCATCCTATCTGAGGATTGCAAATACGTGAGGCGAGGAGATACACAGCAGGATTTACCTGACAATCCTGGGAGATATGACACTTATCACTGTGTGCTGGGCTGTGAGGGCTTCTCTTCTGGGAGACATTGCTGGGGGGTAAAGGCAGCTGATGCGGGAGTCTGGGCTATGGGGGTTGCGAGAGACTCTATGAAGAGGAAGGGATGGATCAGTCCCACACCTGAGGAGGGGATCTGGGCTATTTTTCAATGTGGGGGTGAGTACTGGGCTCTCACATCCCCTGATCACACACCCCTGGCCCTGAGCCAGCCCCCAGAGCTGATCCGGGTCTCTCTGGACTATGAGTTGGGCCAGGTGGCATTTTTTGATGTTGGCAATCAAGTCCCGATCTTCACTTTCCAGACTGCGTTTTTT